TAGAGACACATCTTAAGAGTTAGAGGAACATGGAGAAGTGGATTTTAAATATGTGACCTTTAAATTATTAAAAATATTTAACAATCATAGAAAAGAGTCTTCTCTCTGAATCACCTGCTACCTCGGCCAGGTCGATTTAAAAAAAACACTTTAAATGTTGATGGGACTTCCTGGTTAAATAAAGGTAAAAAATAAAAACACTTTTCAGAGGACACATTAACATTTGGGATCAGAATAAGTCCCTCAGACTTTGGTTCAGGTCTTGGACTGGACTCTGACTTAAAGACTTGAGACCATGAGAGTGTGAAGACATTTCTATAATCAGGTTTGTTTTAAGGTGTTTGATGCTGGATTCATGAGGTGAATTATTAACACTTTGGTTGTTGGTCAAATCTTTTCCTTCAAACTGTAACGCAGCTGTCCACCACTAGTGGGCGCTGAAGCTGTAGGCGTCCTGTAGAGTCAGGAGGAAGAGAAGTCAAATCATTTACTGCCTCACTGTTGATGTGTTCGGTGACGTTGGACATTCAGTGTCATGTTTAATAATGTCGCACATAAAGTTTGTCAGAAACGCGACACAAACACATTTAACAACAAACAAGTTTATTTGAAAGTTTGAAACAGAGGATCTGCTGAGTCCAAACTCCAGGCATTAAAGGGTTAACACGTCTGAATAATCCTAAATCATTTGTCTTTGTAACATAGAGTCAAACAGAGGCCGTGTCTCTGCAGTCCTTCGGTCACCACAGACCAGGACGGGGAATTGAACCCGTGACTCTCTAAAGCTCTGGTGACCAGGCTGCTGCTGGTTGTTGCTGCGTCTTCTCTCTGAGGTGAGGCAGGACGGCATCCCGGTAAAACACCTCCAGTCTGGACACGGTCTCCTCCCACAGGTCGGGGTCAAACATCACTGGGACAATGGCTGTCTCCTTCAGGGTGAAGACGACGAGGTCGGCCCGCTGGAGGCCCGTCACTGCCAGCTGACACTGGATCTGTGTGAAGTAACTGTGAGACGTTTTCAGACGGTAGAACGGGGACTGGAAGACAAGAAGGGGACGTTAGAAACCAGGTTAGAACTAGGACAGAGACATGGACAGGACCACCAGGACAAGGAGGCATGGACAGGACCACCAGGACAAGGAGACATGGACAGGACCACCAGGACTAGAAGACAGGGAGAGGACCAGGACAAAGAGACAGGGAGAGGACCACCAGGACAAGGAGGCATGGACAGGACCACCAGGACTAGGAGACAGGGAGAGGACCACCAGGACAAAGAGACATGGACAGGACCACCAGGACAAAGACACAGGGAGAGAACCACCAGGACAAGGAGACATAGTGAGGACCACCAGGACAAGGAGATATGGAGAAGGACCACCAGGACAAGGAGACAGGGAGAGGACCACCAGGACAAAGAGACATGGACAGGACCACCAGGACAAGGAGACATGGAGAGGACAAGGAGACAGGGAGGGGACCACCAGGACAAGGAGACAGGGAGACAGGGAGAGGACCACCAGGACAAGGAGAAATGGACAGGACCACCAGGACTAGGAGACAGGGAGAAGGACCACCAGGACAAGGAGACAGGGAGAGGACCACCAGGACAAAGAGACATGGACAGGACCACCAGGACAAGGAGAAATGGACAGGACCACCAGGACTAGGAGACAGGGAGAAGGACCACCAGGACAAAGAGACATGGACAGGACCACCAGGACAAGGAGACATGGAGAGGACAAGGAGACATGGACAGGACCACCAGGACAAAGAGACATGGACAGGACCACCAGGACAAAGAGACATGGACAGGACCACCAGGACTAGGAGACAGGGAGAGGACCAGGACAAAGAGACAGGGAGAGGACCACCAGGACTAGGAGACAGGGAGAGGACCAGGACAAAGAGACATGGACAGGACCACCAGGACAAAGACACAGGGAGAGAACCACCAGGACAAGGAGACATAGAGAGGACCACCAGGACAAGGAGACATGGAGAAGGACCACCAGGACAAGGAGACAGGGAGAGGACCACCAGGACAAAGAGACATGGACAGGACCACCAGGACAAGGAGACATGGAGAGGACAAGGAGACAGGGAGGGGACCACCAGGACAAGGAGACAGGGAGAGGACCACCAGGACTAGGAGACAGGGAGAGGACCAGGACAAAGAGACATGGACAGGACCACCAGGACAAAGACACAGGGAGAGGACCACCAGGACAAGGAGACATGGAGAAGGACCACCAGGACAAGGAGACAGGGAGAGGACCACCAGGACAAAGAGACATGGACAGGACCACCAGGACAAGGAGACATGGAGAGGACAAGGAGACAGGGAGGGGACCACCAGGACAAGGAGACAGGGAGAGGACCACCAGGACAAAGAGACATGGAGAGGACTAGGAGACAGGGAGAGGACCACCAGGACAAGGAGACAGGGAGACAGGGAGAGGACAGCTAGGACAGGAGATTAAGGAGGGGACGGTAGAGATACACCAACATGAGGACAACATGGAGGAGACGACTCAGGGAGGACAGACACATTGTAAAAACAGTGGCGTTATGGTTTTACCCTTCCAGGCTGCCGTCCCTCCTCGTCTTGTATTTCGAGACAGAAGGCGCGGTCGTCCCTACAGGCGTCCTCCACTCGTCTATGTCTGTGTTTGTAGGGACATTTCACCTCCAGGCAGAGCAGCCATTCGCCGGTCCGGCTGTCCGTCACGATGCCGTCAGGACTTGCAGCCAACCACGCTCGCTGGTCGTCAATGAACAACCCGCAGTCCAGGACGGAGACCGAGCGTCCCAACGCAGCGCTCTTCAGCCTCTGCAGGATGACATCATCACCGTCATCTTCATCATTCAGTGTTTAGAACTTTCAATGTAACACCTCATCAGACTGACCTGGTACCTGCGGACCACCTCAGCCTCCATCTGGACCCCCCAGGTCATGGCTCTGGTCTGGATGCTCCGCCCCTCACCTGCAGGCAGAGGAATCAATCACTAACCCGTCAACATGCTGCTATCTTATTTCACTGATCTGATTTAATGACGTTCAGACGTTTCAGATCGTCAGGATGAAACGCAGCTGATCGTCTAGCGCCATCTTCAGGTCAACTTTTTAATACAACTCTTTGGGTTCATTTATTCTCATATTCAAAAGAGAGTAACTCTAGCAGCTGCAGAGGTTCTTTAAGCCTGCATTCTGTGTAGCGTCCAGCAGGGGGCAAAGAGCACTCTGATTCTATAGAAGTCTATGATCAAATGTTCCCACCTGATTTATTCTCTCAGTGAACGTTTTCCTAACGAGCTTCTGTTCTCAATCTGTAGATTTATGTCCTCAACACAGCGTAATGTGCATTTAGTCAAGTACGGGCTCACCTGTCTGCCAGGTCGGCCACGCCCCTTATTATGCAAATGTATGAATACGTCTTATCATGAATAAAGGGTTTAGGGTTAAAAAAAAATGGATGCAGGTCTGTGAGGTTGGACCCCTGCAGGACCCTGTGACCCTCATGTGGACATTCAAGGAACTGCAGTTTGTTTTCACACCTTTCTGACGGTTGATGGATTCAAAGTGACGAATTCTAGAGACCAGTTCCTACCTGTGATCGCAGCCAGGTAGGAGGTGGGCGGAGTTCTGCTCTTGCCGTTGACGAAGTGGCAGTTACTAATGCGGTGAGCCATGGAGGCCGTGATCCGGTTCTTCCTCCAGGAAAACCAGTCCTGGTTGGTTCTCTGTCCGCGGGTCAGAACCTCCACCTGCTCCACAACGCACCGATCCAGCCTCACCGCCACACCCACAGGCACCTGCTCAGGTGAGAGAGGGGCTCTGTCAGAGACCTGAGCTGGGTCTGTGGCTGCTCCCTGGACTGGTTTCTTTGAGGGTTTCCGAGCAGTAGGTTCTGGATCGACCTGAGGGTTCTCCTGGACTGCCTTCAAGCTGGCCTCAGGGGGGTGCTCATGAGCTGGCCTAGTCCTCTGAGCCCGACTGCTCCTGGTTCTGGTTTGTCCTCCGTTTGCAGGCGTCTGGATGCTCGGATGATACCGGACTTTGGGGATGATCCGCTCTGTGTTCTGGGTCTGCATTTTATGAATCGGGGTCTCTGCAGGATCACAGAGTTCCTATTCAGGATTATTATTATAAACGCAAATAAAACCATGTGATTCATGACGTGCTCATCAGTCGGACCTGTTTGAAGGAACTTTACATTTCTTATTCGTTTTTGTTTTTTTGAACCAGGCTGTAAACATGTTCATCTCTGCTGTAAAAACAGGCTTTTTAGAATGGGTGTGTATGTGACTTCCTGTGCTTCTGCAGCCAGCCTCTAGTGGACACTCCAGGAACTGCAGGATTTTATACTTCAGCATCGGCTTCATTTTTTTTAACACCGGACGTTACTGCTTGGTCAAGATACAATTCGGCCACGAGTTTTATTTTGAAAACCTGGAAAATGACGGCCGGAAGTTCCGCCAGGCTTGTTTGTTATTTTAAGACGCGTTTTAACCCGGAGTAAACAAGAATACACCGGAGTAAACAAGAATACACCGGAGTAAACAAGAAAACACCGGAGTAAACAGGTGAGAGAGTAAGCTCTTATTAACGTGCTCCGCCTGAAACAGCTCAGCACCGAACTCCGGAACCGGGACACGAAGGACCGGGACACGAAGGACCGGGACACGAAGAACCGGGACACGAAGAACCGGGACACGTAGAACCGGGACACGAAGAACCGGGACACTGTGTCTGCTTGTGTCTGAAGTTCTTGTATATAAAGAATAACAAACACCTGTCCGGTTAGTAAAGGTAGAAACAGCTGATCTCACCTGAGACTGTCGCCCTGATGACGGAAGAGAAACTGACTGACTCACTGTCCCATGACGTGTGTGTGTGTGTGTGTGTGTGTGTGTGTGTGTGTGTGTGTGTGTGTGTGTGTGTGTGTGTGTGTGTGTGTGTGTGTGTGTGTGTGTGTGTGTGTGTGTGTGTGTGTGTGTGTGTGTGAATTTTATGAAACTTTATTTAAAGCCAAAAGTTGTTAAAAAATTAAAGTTCAGTAAACATCCAGCACGTCAGGTTTTGCCTAAAGGTAGATGTGAGCGACCCTTGAGGGGTACTTGTCTATGCTGCCTTCACCTTCACTCAGCATCTTAGAAAAGGTATTGTGTCATGTGACCTCACAGGCCTATTGAGCTGCTGTTTTTATTCTCTGTAAATAAAGGAGGAACAAGCAGACACACAGACGACATGTGGGATGAATGTGTGTTACAATATTTATAAAACAAATAATGTGAATAAAAAAAACTGGAGTTTTTGGAATTTAACTCCGACTCATTCACATCGAGTCCACGATGAACGCTCATCACTGTGGACTCCGTCTAACCGTTGTGCCCTCAGTTCTGTCTTTCAGGTTGACGTGTCTGTGGTTTTTTCCTCCTGCAGTCACTCATGTCGGTCTCTCAGATCCGTCCTGGTCTGTTCCTCAGCGGTCTGGACTCAGCCCTGAACCGCAGCATTCTCTCCAGCAGGAACGTCACGCTCGTGGTTAATGCCTCCGGGCTGGAGGGCGTGTCTTACCCTCAACTGGACGGCCTGCAGGTTCTCCATGTCCCCGTTCAGGACCGACCCCACGCCCCCCTGGGACACTACTTTGACCTGGTGTCTGAGCGCATCAACCAAAACAACACGGGGACGACTCTGGTCCACTGCACAGCGGGCAGGAGTCGATCTCCCGCCCTGATCATGGCCTACTTGATAAGGTATCTGTGTCTGTTGAGCCTACAGTCAGTTTTAATAAAGCCGGTCTCTTTAACCTCGATACATCACCGTGGTAACACTGCTAACCTACATCCTAACATTTTATCTAATTATCTAATCCTCAAAAAAGTTGATGACCAACAACTGAATTCATTTTCAAGCAAAAATAAATATTTTAAGCACTCCAATCTGGTTTGAGGAAGAACCACAACACGGCTCTTTTAAAAGTTCTTAATGATTTGTTTTTAGCAGTAGACAATGGCGACTGTGCAGTTTTAACACTTTTAGATTGTGGGTCAACCACAACCTACTTACCATCACCAGGCTTGAAGATTGGGTCTGGATCAAGGGGAAAGCTCTAAATCCTTTAAGTCCTCCTCTGAAAACAGAAGTTGTAAAGTGAGCTCAGTTTCCCTCACCTGTGGGGTTCCTCAGGGCTCAGTTTTAGAGCCTCTTCTGTTTTCATTGTACATCTTTCCACTGGATGCCCTTATAAGGAATTTTGGCATATCTTTCCATCAGTGAGGGTTCTAGACCACTTTTACTGAGGGGGCCAAACTGGGTCCAGTTGTTTTGTCAGAGGGGAACATTAAACCCAGAAGAAAAATGGACAAAGATGATCGCTTTAATAAATACATATATTATGCCAAATAAAAGCACATCATTAAATACCATGGTTTATATTTGTTTCAGAAACAGAATTGTTACTTGTGAGTCAAACACTGTATGTGTTATTAGGGGGCTCTTCCTTTAGGAGGGGTGGCCACAGGGGGGACCATGTTCGGTGTAACAGGGGCACTGGCTCCTGTTGGCCCCTGCCTAGAACCGCCCATGCTTTTCACCGTTTTGCGGAAGACACTTAGATATATCAGAAATGTTGCCTATGTTCATGAAAGTAGAAGTTAAAGAGTAGAATAACTCGTTTGTACCCGGTTCAGTGATGACCTGACTTGGACTCTGTGTTTGCAGGTTTGAAGGTCTCAGCCTCCGTCAGGCTCATGAACTCGTCCTAGAGCAGCGACAGTTTGTTCGACCGAACGCCGGCTTCTGGAGGCAGCTGATGGACTACGAGAGGACCAGGACCGGCAGGAGCACGGTGAGGATGGCGAGCACGTCCAGCGGAGTCCTTCCTGAAGCTCTGGAGGACCCCAAAGACTCAGCTGGTACATACTGCGTCAACATCTGACAAACGGACAGGGAGTGGACCCATCTCAGTGAGGACTTGAAGTCAGGGTTCCTCCCTCGATGTTTGTTTCACTGCAGGTCGTCTGTCCGACTTCTCACTGGGTGGGCGGAGCTTAGATAGACAAAAGCTACATTCACATGGACCAAAATCATGAGAATAAAAGTCTGACTGAAGAAATATTACACATTTGAACAAACCTGAAGATGATACCTGCATCTATCAGGATTTGGCCTGAGAAGTATTTAATAAATTGATCAGATCATGATGTCATAAACGTGTTGCAGCTGCTGGCACTACTTTAAGGAGCGGATTAATCTCTATGTCATGCTCTCTGCAGGAACTTAATCTGGCCATGTTGTAATAATTAAAGTTCATGTGTAAACATCTCTCCTTTAAAAGACCTCTGAGTCCTGATCATCAACCCTACCCACACCTGGACGACCCTCCACATCAACGTCAGAACAATCGAGAGAAGTATTAACCAGACGAGACACGTGGAGTAAAAAAAAACAACAAATCAGAGTTTATTGTGACGGCACAAAGACGAGGTCAGAGAGTAAAAAATATCAAACAGTGTGAGGGAGGACCGGGGCCTGATGGAGGTCAGGGTCTCAGTACTGGAAGCTTCTCTTGGTCTGGATGTCGTCGAGGATCTGCTGCAACTCCTCGTCCTCAAACCGACCCTCCAAACTACAAACACACACACAAGAACACACGCATGATCACACGCACATCATGCAGCAGTAAACAGGCTGTGACGATGTGGATCAGACTGACCTGGGGATGAGGGCTTTCGCCTCCTCAGCAGCTTCAGGACACAGGTTAGCTAAACTGGCTAACTCAAACTTATGGAGCTTCTTCTGCAGGAGGAGGCTAGAGAGAGAGAGAGACAGAGAGAGAGAGAGAGAGAGACAGAGGTCAGTTCCAGGTCAGACTCAGGCACTCACACAGGTGACAGGTGAGCTCAGACCTGCGTACAGCCGTGATGGTCTCGCGGTTCTTGAAGCGGCTGAAGCGAGCCGTGTAGTTCAGGGTCTTCATGAAGACCTCGGAAAGTTCCTGCTCGTCCTCTGCGCTCTCGTTCTGCTGCTTCCTGTGCTCCAGCAACATGTGAACCTCAGAGTTTAACAGAGTCTCTGCGTTCTCAAACTCTGTGAACACACACAATACAGAGTTTCTTTATGATATCAGTTCGTTACCATGGCAACACAAAGACAAGTCATGTGACCTTTAACTTTTAACCATGCAGGTCACAGCTGATCAATAAAGTTAAGTTAGAGACAGTAGAGATTAGAGACAGTAGAGTTTAGAGACAGTAGAGATTAGAGACAGTAGAGATTAGAGACAGTAGAGATTAGAGACCTTTAGAGACAGTAGAGTTTAGAGACAGTAGAGTTTAGAAACAGTAGAGTTTAGAGACAGTAGAGTTTAGAGACAGTAGAGATTAGAGACAGTAGAGTTTAGAGACAGTAGAGTTTAGAGACAGTAGAGATTAGAGACAGTAGAGTTTAGAGACAGTAGAGTTTAGAGACTTTTAGAGACAGTAGAGTTTAGAGACAGTAGAGTTTAGAGACAGTAGAGTTTAGAGACAGTAGAGTTTAGACCTTTAGAGACAGTAGAGTTTAGAGACAGTAGAGTTTAGAGACAGTAGAGTTTAGAGACAGTAGAGTTTAGACCTTTAGAGACAGTAGAGTTTAGAGACAGTAGAGTTTAGAGACAGTAGAGTTTAGAGACAGTAGAGATTAGAGACCTTTAGAGACAGTAGAGATTAGAGACAGTAGAGTTTAGAGACAGTAGAGATTAGAGACCTTTAGAGACAGTAGAGATTAGAGACAGTAGAGTTTAGAGACAGTAGAGATTAGAGACAGTAGAGATTAGAGACAGTAGAGATTAGAGACCTTTAGAGACAGTAGAGTTTAGAGACAGTAGAGTTTAGAAACAGTAGAGTTTAGAGACAGTAGAGTTTAGAGACAGTAGAGATTAGAGACAGTAGAGTTTAGAGACAGTAGAGTTTAGAGACTTTTAGAGACAGTAGAGTTTAGAGACAGTAGAGATTAGAGACAGTAGAGTTTAGAGACAGTAGAGTTTAGAGACAGTAGAGTTTAGACCTTTAGAGACAGTAGAGTTTAGAGACAGTAGAGTTTAGAGACAGTAGAGTTTAGAGACCTTTAGAGACAGTAGAGATTAGAGACAGTAGAGTTTAGAGACAGTAGAGTTTAGAGACAGTAGAGATTAGAGACAGTAGAGTTTAGAGACAGTAGAGATTAGAGACAGTAGAGTTTAGAGACAGTAGAGTTTAGAGACAGTAGAGATTAGAGACAGTAGAGATTAGAGACAGTAGAGTTTAGAGACTTTTAGAGACAGTAGAGTTTAGAGACAGTAGAGTTTAGAGACAGTAGAGTTTAGAGACCTTTAGAGACAGTAGAGATTAGAGACAGTAGAGTTTAGAGACAGTAGAGTTTAGAGACAGTAGAGATTAGAGACAGTAGAGATTAGAGACCTTTAGAGACAGTAGAGTTTAGAGACAGTAGAGTTTAGAGACAGTAGAGATTAGAGACAGTAGAGTTTAGAGACAGTAGAGTTTAGAGACAGTAGAGTTTAGACCTTTAGAGACAGTAGAGTTTAGAGACAGTAGAGTTTAGAGACAGTAGAGTTTAGACCTTTAGAGACAGTAGAGTTTAGAGACAGTAGAGTTTAGAGACAGTAGAGCTTAGAGACAGTAGAGTTTAGAGACAGTAGAGTTTAGAGACAGTAGAGTTTAGAGACAGTAGAGCTTAGAGACAGTAGAGTTTAGAGACAGTAGAGTTTAGAGACAGTAGAGTTTAGAGACCTTTAGAGACAGTAGAGATTAGAGACAGTAGAGTTTAGAGACAGTAGAGTTTAGAGACAGTAGAGATTAGAGACAGTAGAGATTAGAGACAGTAGAGTTTAGAGACAGTAGAGTTTAGAGACCTTTAGAGACAGTAGAGATTAGAGACAGTAGAGTTTAGAGACAGTAGAGTTTAGAGACAGTAGAGATTAGAGACAGTAGAGATTAGAGACAGTAGAGATTAGAGACCTTTAGAGACAGTAGAGTTTAGAGACAGTAGAGTTTAGAGACAGTAGAGATTAGAGACAGTAGAGTTTAGAGACAGTAGAGTTTAGAGACAGTAGAGTTTAGACCTTTAGAGACAGTAGAGTTTAGAGACAGTAGAGTTTAGAGACAGTAGAGTTTAGACCTTTAGAGACAGTAGAGTTTAGAGACAGTAGAGTTTAGAGACAGTAGAGCTTAGAGACAGTAGAGTTTAGAGACAGTAGAGATTAGAGACAGTAGAGATTAGAGACAGTAGAGTTTAGAGACAGTAGAGTTTAGAGACCTTTAGAGACAGTAGAGATTAGAGACAGTAGAGTTTAGAGACAGTAGAGTTTAGAGACAGTAGAGATTAGAGACAGTAGAGATTAGAGACAGTAGAGATTAGAGACCTTTAGAGACAGTAGAGTTTAGAGACAGTAGAGTTTAGAGACAGTAGAGTTTAGAGACAGTAGAGTTTAGACCTTTAGAGACAGTAGAGTTTAGAGACAGTAGAGTTTAGAGACAGTAGAGCTTAGAGACAGTAGAGTTTAGAGACAGTAGAGTTTAGAGACAGTAGAGTTTAGAGACAGTAGAGTTTAGAGACAGTAGAGCTTAGAGACAGTAGAGTTTAGAGACAGTAGAGTTTAGAGACAGTAGAGTTTAGAGACCTTTAGAGACAGTAGAGATTAGAGACAGTAGAGTTTAGAGACAGTAGAGTTTAGAGACAGTAGAGATTAGAGACAGTAGAGATTAGAGACAGTAGAGTTTAGAGACCTTTAGAGACAGTAGAGTTTAGAGACAGTAGAGTTTAGAGACAGTAGAGTTTAGAGACCTTTAGAGACAGTCGAGATTAGAGACAGTAGAGTTTAGAGACAGTAGAGTTTAGAGACAGTAGAGATTAGAGACCTTTAGAGACAGTAGAGTTTAGAGACAGTAGAGTTTAGAGACAGTAGAGATTAGAGACCTTTAGAGACAGTAGAGTTTAGAGACAGTAGAGTTTAGAGACAGTAGAGATTAGAGACCTTTAGAGACAGTAGAGTTTAGAGACAGTAGAGTTTAGAGACAGTAGAGATTAGAGACCTTTAGAGACAGTAGAGTTTAGAGACAGTAGAGTTTAGAGACAGTAGAGATTAGAGACCTTTAGAGACAGTAGAGTTTAGAGACAGTAGAGTTTAGAGACAGTAGAGATTAGAGACAGTAGAGATTAGAGACAGTAGAGATTAGAGACAGTAGAGATTAGAGACCTTTAGAGACAGTAGAGTTTAGAGACAGTAGAGTTTAGAGACAGTAGAGATTAGAGACCTTTAGAGACAGTAGAGTTTAGAGACAGTAGAGTTTAGAGACAGTAGAGATTAGAGACCTTTAGAGACAGTAGAGTTTAGAGACAGTAGAGTTTAGAGACAGTAGAGATTAGAGACCTTTAGAGACAGTAGAGTTTAGAGACAGTAGAGTTTAGAGACAGTAGAGATTAGAGACAGTAGAGATTAGAGACAGTAGAGATTAGAGACAGTAGAGATTAGAGACCTTTAGAGACAGTAGAGTTTAGAGACAGTAGAGTTTAGAGACAGTAGAGTTTAGAGACAGTAGAGATTAGAGACAGTAGAGTTTAGAGACAGTAGAGTTTAGAGACAGTAGAGTTTAGACCTTTAGAGACAGTAGAGTTTAGAGACAGTAGAGTTTAGAGACAGTAGAGTTTAGACCTTTAGAGACAGTAGAGTTTAGAGACAGTAGAGTTTAGAGACAGTAGAGCTTAGAGACAGTAGAGTTTAGAGACAGTAGAGTTTAGAGACAGTAGAGTTTAGAGACAGTAGAGCTTAGAGACAGTAGAGCTTAGAGACAGTAGAGCTTAGAGACAGTAGAGTTTAGAGACAGTAGAGTTTAGAGACAGTAGAGTTTAGAGACAGTAGGCTTAGAGACAGTAGAGTTTAGACCTTTAGAGACAGTAGAGTTTAGAGACAGTAGAGTTTAGAGACAGTAGAGTTTAGAGACAGTAGAGCTTAGAGACAGTAGAGTTTAGAGACAGTAGAGTTTAGAGACAGTAGAGCTTAGAGACAGTAGAGTTTAGAGACAGTAGAGTTTAGAGACAGTAGAGTTTAGAGACAGTAGAGCTTAGAGACAGTAGAGTTTAGACCTTTAGAGACAGTAGAGTTTAGAGACAGTAGAGTTTAGACCTTTAGAGACAGTACAGCTTAGAGACAGTAGAGTTTAGACCTTTAGAGACAGTAGAGCTTAGAGACAGTAGAGTTTAGACCTTTAGAGACAGTAGAGTTTAGAGACAGTAGAGCTTAGAGACAGTAGAGTTTAGACCTTTAGAGACAGTAGAGTTTAGAGACAGTAGAGCTTAGAGACAGTAGAGTTTAGACCTTTAGAGACAGTAGAGCTTAGAGACAGTAGAGTTTAGAGACAGTAGAGTTTAGACCTTTAGAGACAGTAGAGTTTAGAGACAGTAGAGTTTAGAGACAGTAGAGTTTAGACCTTTAGAGACAGTAGAGTTTAGAGACAGTAGAGCTTTAGAGACAGTAGAGTTTAGAGACAGTAGAGTTTAGAGACAGTAGAGTTTAGACCTTTAGAGACAGTAGAGTTTAGAGACAGTAGAGCTTAGAGACAGTAGAGTTTAGAGACAGTAGAGTTTAGACCTTTAGAGACAGTAGAGTTTAGACCTTTAGAGACAGTAGAGTTTAGAGACAGTAGAGTTTAGAGACAGTAGAGCTTAGAGACAGTAGAGTTTAGAGACAGTAGAGTTTAGACCTTTAGAGACAGTAGAGTTTAGAGACAGTAGAGTTTAGAGACAGTAGAGTTTAGAGACAGTAGAGTTTAGAGACAGTAGAGTTTAGACCTTTAGAGACAGTAGAGCTTAGAGACAGTAGAGTTTAGAGACAGTAGAGTTTAGAGACCTTTAGGAAACAGCAGCTGAGACGCGTCTTCTTCTACGTCACCGACATGAGTCGTTGTTGTTCCCGCCGCCATCACGGAACACACACCGGCTAACAGCTAGCGGAACACACACCGGCTAACAGCTAGCGGAACACACACCGGCTAACAGCTAGCGGAACACACACCGGCTAACAGCTAGCGGAACACACACCGGCTAACAGCTAACAGCTAGCGGAACACACACCGGCTAACAGCTAGCGGAACACACACCGGCTAACAGCTAACAGCTAGCGGAACACACACCGGCTAACAGCTAACAGCTAGCGGAACACACACCGGCTAACAGCTAACAGCTAGCGGAACACACACCGGCTAACAGCTAGCGGAACACACACCGGCTAACAGCTAGCGGAACACACACCGGCTAACAGCTAACAGCTAGCGGAACACACACCGGCTAACAGCTAACAGCTAGCGGAACACACACCGGCAGCTAGCTGCTTATCTTCCCGGTAATATGTGGATGAAGCTCCAGCAGTTTAAATAAACGAAACAACGGAACAAATCAGCGCCTTTTAGTCACACAAACACGCAAAGATGCATATCCGTGTCTCGACGAAACACTTCCGGTGTGACGGATGAACTGGTGACCCTCCGCTACATGTTCGTTAGAGGACCCCAGTTCACTCCTAAAATAACTATAAGGATAGGGAGTCATAGGTGACTTTACAGATGCCTGTTCAAAACAACGCCGAGTGTTGGGACTTGTTATTTTAAACCATAGACTGTAAATATTAAATTAAACCAGTATGTATTCACACAGTGTTGTGTGAGTTTGGACAGCACTGTTACGATAAAAAGTATGAAGAGTCACCATCGTCTTTGTTTCGAACAGGCATTTGTAAAGTCACCTCTGTTTTCTTCACTGTGATGTCTCTGATAAACATTCTGAAAACCTCGTGTCGGAGTTTAACGTTATTTCATAGAAAACATGGGTCCTTAACAGCCCGTGACCCCGGCCTATGGCTGTGGTGAGGGTAAGTCTGTAGCGCCCTCTGGTGGACAGTAGCGGTTATAACAAATGTGAGTGAAACACATTATAATATAAATATATTTATAAACCGTCTGTTTACCGGCGGGTTTAAACGGCACCGTGAGAGAAACGGGTCTCATGAAGCGGACCGTCACCGTCTGTGTTACAGAAAACATATATAATAAATTATTAAACCTTTATTTAATCATTATTGTATAAACAGGACGGTGCTGAGGAAAATGTCTGCGTTGGCCGGGAATCGAACCCGGGTCAACTGCTTGGAAGGCAGCTATGCTAACCACTATACCACCAACGCCATGTGACGACAACCCCACAATGAAATGATTTAATAGACTCTGAGCTGAAGGTGGAGACGTGACGATGTTTCAGCACATTTTACATTTTACACTCCGACTTCATCTTCAAGTTTAAATCTACGGTGGCTGGGAGGGGTCAGGAGAATGCATTTACAAAACCGCTTTGCAAACTCCACAACATGAATGCTAAAGTAACAAGTAACATTAAATAATCACAACAGGTCCAGAATAAAGCTGCTCTCTCTCTCCTGTGGTTTCACATCAAATGTCTGTTGGTTAGAAGTCAAACACAGATTATTGTATTCACTGATGGTTTTCTTACTGAACGTAATAACAAATAAAACTCTTTTAACTTGTCAGATTATCTTTCAGTACTGACATTACTTTATTGGTTGTAGTTTCACTTTGTGTGTTTGTGTTTTTCTCTCCGGTCGGTGTCTTCAGACGTCATGGTAAATGGAGTTGGGGTAAATGGGGGAGAAGGTCGGGCACAGCAGCGTGAGGTCGGCCGCTCGGATGAACAGCGCCGTGGTCATCTTCCTGGATCAGGTGGAGAAGGTGAACCGAGTCGTTGAGACAGGCATCACGGTGAACCAAATGTTTGTACAGGTGACTCCACTGACACAGCCTTCCACCAGAGTCATCCTGTCCAATGTCCCTCCGTTCATAACCGACGAGTTTCTTAGCAGAGAGCTCTCCAGACATGGGAAGGTGGTGTCCCCCATAAAAAAGATTCTGTCTGGATGTAGATCTGCTGAAACACGTGGTGTCTCACCGGAGACAACTGTTTATGATACTTAACCTCAACCTCCGCTTCCATGTTAAAGTAGATGATTATGACTACGTGATATTTGCCACCTCGTCGGCTATGAAATGTTTTGGTTGTGGTGAGGAGGGACACACCGTGAAGGCCTGTCCGAGACAAGGGGATCCGGCTCCGCCTGGCCGTGGGGTGACGCCCGGCCCTGTGGCGGGGCTTTCCGCTGCTCCGCCGGTTGCAGCGGCCGAGAGCGGCACCGCGGAGCGCGGTACCCTAACCCTATGAATGATGTGCACGGTGTGGGTGAAAACAATCAGGGAAGTGAAGGAGAGGTTTTGGGTGATGTGGTGGAAAGTGAGGTGGGGGAAGAAAAGGGGGAAAAGTGTGAGTGAAGTACAGATAAATAAAGCAAGTGGGGTCAGTGAAGTGCAGGAGGGTATGTCAGAGGAGGAAGATGAAACACAGGCAGAGGAGGCAGGTGGGGGGAACAGTAAACTTACATGGGGGGAACAGGTGGAAGAGGCTGAGGTAGAGGACAGACAGACAGTAAGGGGACAGGGACAGACAGAGGAAAGTGAAAGTGATGACTGTGTCTCTGATAGCAGTGATATATCTGAATTAAAATAATTAACTGTCTCTCTCTCTCTCTCTCTCTCTCTCTCTCTCTCTCTCTCTCTCTGTCTCTCTCTCTCTGTCTCTCTCTCTCTCTCTCTCTCTCTCTCTCTCTTTGACGCACACTAAAGAGCATATAAAACCAGAAAAAGCATAATATGGGCCCTTTAAGTCTGCAGGGGCACCAGCAGAGGGCGCTCATGTTACAGAGTCCCAGTGGATAATCATTAGAATCATTTATAAACAGTATTACTTTAACAGTAAAGCTGGACCAGTCAGGTCTCGTACAGGGTCAGTGCACGCCATGACAGCAGGAGGAGAGGAGAAATGTCAGAGCATTCATGGACGACCAGTTTAACTGTGAAGATGTAATAACTGTTTAATAATCGTTCTTCACAGAGTGCAGCTCTTCCAGCAGGGGGCGCTCTGCTATGGATCAGTGTGAGGACACAGAGGAGGGGGTCCCTCCCTCTAAAACCTCTCTGTGTGAGGAACATGAAGCTCTGAGGTGAGATGAGGATCTCACTTCACTCCATCATCATCACTGTCTCATCTGCTGCTCACAGTAACTAATAATGTTTGTTTGTATCAGGATGCAGAGACAGAGACCAGACTCTCCTGGACCCAGCTGTGTGTCCATGAAGAGTGATGACTCTAAAGGTTTAAATATTGTCTTTAAAGATGGACGTCCTGCTGATGGAAGGTGAGATGTGAAAGTGAAGTTAATGTTCTGACTCTGTTGTTTAAAGACTCATATCTTGTCTCAGAGCTTCATGATGTGTTGTAGGACTCATCAGTTTATTGTTTCAGCAGTGACATCACAGTGTTCACCAGTCAAAGAGTTCAGTGATCAGACTCATCATGATAAACCATATCACTGAGTTTGTGTTTCTTTAAATAGAAATCCAGTTTACAGAGTAGCAGCTGATTTCAAAGATGGAGCTTGATGAGCAGAGGTCATATTTTTTCTAATTATCCCTCGGATCATTACAACAGAAAATAAAAGAATAGATCTTTAATGTCATTGCCATAAAAACAGTGAAAGGCAGTTTAGCAGCTCTTTGTCAGAGGCAGCACAGACAAAGAGCTCTGTTCTGCTTTTCTACAACTCTTTCATCCTCAGACATTTACATCACTCTCACTTCCTGTCTTCAGTCCATGTTCACCTCTCCCAGTACTTTCCTCCTGTTTCTCCTACTTCTCCACCAGAGGCCCTCAGAATACACCTCCTTCTCTTCTTTAAACAGCCCAGACCTTCCCCTCTATCCTACTCACCTGCAGCACAAAGAGAGAGAGAGACGTGACAAAGACAACAGCACCAACCCTCAGCAGGGTGGTAGAACAATTTACACTGACACACATTTCAATAAGAAAGCTCATAATATAAGAGCCACAGTCATAACATGCTTCATTAACCACACTGAGTCCAGTATTCAGGACAAGAACACTTTTATAATCATCAGAGACAGAGGAAGGATTCCTGCTCTCTATGAACAAACTTTAACTTGTGTCCTTTTTGAACTTTCTTGAATCCAGAAGTTCTCTAAGTGGTCTTATCCTCAAAATAAAGAAAACAATCTTGTTCCTCTGCTGAGATATGATAAACCATTGTTGTAGCTCCTTTCAGGTTCAATCTAGCTCGATGTTAACCAGAATATCTAATTAAGTCAAAGTTAGATATACTGTATTTTATTAATATAAGCTTTTCTAATACTAAACATACTTAACAAGATGATATTCTTTTAAGTTATAGAATATTAATTGTAAAGTTATTTTCATGTGGGGGACACAGAAGAAGTCCTTTAACCAAACACCAATCCTGCCTCGTTCCACGTCGACAGCCTGGTCAACATCTGTTTTCAGTCCACAGTCTGTCCCTCACCTGCTCCTGTTTCCCAATAAACAGTCTGGCCTCGGCTTGTTCATGGTTCTCTTTCAGAGGTCCAGCCAGTCTCCTGTTCCTACAGATCACTCTCTCAGGTTGTCCTTCTGCCCCCCCTGGTGGCCACTTGTAGTATCTTCATGAACATCTGTCTGTAGCTAGCCTGAGTTCTTTCTCTCTGAAAATGCAGGTTGGACTTCTAACCTTTATTGTTCCTGGTGTCATCTTTCTGAGCTGTGTTTATGTTTGAGTCTTCTTCTGTTAACTTTGATTCCATCAGTCTAAAGAATCTGAGGACAGACACAGTGTTGTCTGTATTCTGAGTGAGATACTGTTCTAATAGAAACAGAGAGAGCTGTGGAGAACTTCAGCTCTGCCTCCTGATCACTGATTATCCATCTGCTAGTTTGAACTGGAACAATCTGATTAAAAATGATCTTTGTTCTAAAAGCTTTCATTAACCAGCTGTTTGTTTGTATCAGGATGAAGAGACAGAGACCAGACTCTCCTGGACCCAGCTGTGTGTCCATGAAGAGTGATTGGTGTATAATGTGTATCTTGGTTCAGAGCTTCATAATATATGACGCATTGTTTTCTTGTGTCACAGAGTTCAACAGGAGAGCTCCGAGGTTCACAGAGATCAATCAGACCAGCAGAATCCAACAGACCTGGACTCCATCTTTATGGTCTGTTCAACACACTGTTA